GCTTCTGTTGGGACAGCATTTTCCGCAATAACGAGTGCAACGAACCAGCTCCGAGGCGGATTTCACCTAACGCAAGTCTTTGGTGAAATATGGGGAAATCAGATCGGCAGCCCTGGCGCCGGGCTGGCCGGCTCTAGAAGGAACCGGAGGGCAGCGAAGCACTTCCAGGCAGATCCTGGAAAGCCACGGCTGTTCTTTGTGATCTTGAAAGCGTAAGAGACGGGATGGAGGCGCAAACGCAGGGACAAGCACATCTACAGCAGAAAAAAAAGCCACATCGTTTCCCAGCAGTCACCACCCCAGAGGCTACGCAAGCAGAGCACAACAGCTCGAGTAAAACAAAGAAAATAAAACAAGTGAGAAATAAAAACAGCCAGCAAGCTGGCGCGGTTAAACCTACCGAGGAAGAGAATCGCCAGTGCGAGAGCAGAGCTGTTTATTTACCAAACTGCTGCAAAACAGCCAAATTCTTTGGGAATGGCTTGTTCGAATCAAGCCTTGTGCCAGGAGAGGCAGAGACCCCGTCCCAGAGCTCGGCTCTTCGGTCTCCCAACAAGCGATGCTCTCCGAGTTATAAACAGCAGGTCATCGCTCGCGCTTTACGAATGGAAAACAACAGCCCGCGACGACGGCACGAACCGGTGACTCAAGGCCTGGACGCGGAGCCAGTCATTTTCCAAGCACGAGTGCTGCACCAGTCACCCTCCGCCCCGGGGAAACGAGGGCTGTGACGGGGCCGTGAGTCCAAGGCCGGTGTCGGGGCAGCCCTCTCCTCCTACACAACAGCTTCTGCCTTCCGCCCAGAGCCCGTGCACACCCAGCCACACTCAAAACACAAGCCGACCCCGAGCAGCGGCAGCTCGGGAGCAGGAAAGTCAGCCGGCACAGCCAGGGGCTTGGCTTGTTGCAGGATAAAACCCCTCGGAAATAATTCGGCAAGGGTTAGGGCAGGGTCAGAGCGCAGCCCCAGCTCGCAGCAGCGGCAGGACCCTCCCGGTCTGACTTCAGCTCCTTCTCTGCGCCCAGCCCGGCGCTATGCAGCACCGTCGCGATTCCCACAGGCATCGCGTAAGGGACGGGGACCAACACGCCGCCCTCTTCCCCACGGAAACGTCCTCCTTGCAGCTGACAAACCTGATGGGGTGGGAGAAGAGTCGCCACTGATGAACCCCTCCAACTTCTGCCCCCGGGACACCGAGCAGGACGCCCAGGAGCGGCTGGGGGAGGCAAAGCAGCCCTTGATGGCAAGACCGTGTTTCTCAAACACTCAACACGGAGAACTTCTTTTAGCCTCTTGTCTGCTCCTCAACCGGGCTACAATTTGCCGGAGCCGCAGGTAAAGCCGGGGTTGATTCTCCCCAGCGCCGCAGCCGACGGAGCCTCTGCACGAGGGCGAAGCAAGTTGTGAAACACCCAGCGCGTTGCGGCAAGACGTTCCCGTATTTATACTCCCTCTTTTTGCGTCGCTTCGGATTCCCAGCGCTGGAGTTTCCCGGTTGATTCGGCGGCCACCTGACCCGGCGGGCAGCTCGCGACCCTTGAGGGGGGTAAGCCGGGGGTCGCTGGAAGTGAGGCAACAAGAATTCTTTAAACTCCGCATTTTCTGCCGGACGCAGGAACTACCCGGGGCTCATTCGCAACCGCTCGTTTTAAGTGAGAAAACGTCATTTATGGAGAGCGTGACGCACGATAAACCAGAGCGAGCCGCGAAGATCCCGCAGGCCCTGGGACCTCCGCGCGGGTACGGCCGCTCCGGCCGGCGCCAGGTCTACAGGGAGGAACCAGGCCGGGAGG